TGTCTCTCTCTTTGTAGGATAAACAACCGATTCGTCCAAGTACTGTGGTTGATCCGTCCAAGGTACACCGTTTGTGTATTTATATATATATACATACATAAATACACACACACACACACACACACACACGCACACAGACAGACACACACACACATATATATATATATATATATATATATATTATTTTTTAATGTGCAGTACTTAGTGGAAAGCGCTCAATGTCGGGGATAGAGCTAACATTTTCAGTTGTATGGATGTGAGTTTGCGACCCTGGGATTCACACTTTTGCGATCATTAAACAAACTGTTTTATTTTTTAAAAAATTGGATGCATTTATGCAAGAATAGATAAACCGGCTTGTCTGATGATAGCAAAAGCGTGAAACTCAAGATCACGCACTCATATCCATACTATCATATATATATATATATATATATATATGAAACCCTATATTCTATATTCAAAACCATCACTTGATAAGACACCAGAAGTGTTGAAACAAAATGGATATTTTTGTAGTGGTTTTATAACATATGTATGTTATAATTTTCGAATAAATAATTATATATATATGCGCGCTCGTGTGTGTGTGTGTGTGTGTGTGTGTGAGCGTCTTATATGCACGTGTTTATCGATGCTTGGAAATCATCCATGTAAACAATAACAGACTATCATCACTGTCTTGTCCGTATATTGCTAAATATATTGTACAGTAATTGACATTTTGATAATGGCTTATTTCTTCAGAAAGTTTAGATTGGATTAAAAATATGGACCAACAGTGGGATTTTCTTTCTTCGTTTAATGATAATGTAATTAAGCTTATCAGACGTTGTGAAAAAATTTACATAAAATAAATAGACAACACTGGTCTATATTATTTATTGAAACATATATATATATATATATATATCTATATATATATATATATATATATATATATATATATAGGTAATGTATTATATCATTTCAAAAAACCTTTTTTTTGATTTGCCAATAATCAAATCAATTCTCGAAGGATAAAATATTTAAAAAAAAAGATCCAGGAACATGAAATTCTGTCAAAAAAAATCTGCAAGAGGAGGTTTTGCCAAAAAAAAAACCCCGACACATTAAAAAACTAACTAAAAGAGCTCAGTACAACCGTGAACAGACCTAGATAAACCTAGTGAGCCAAACAAACCTACCTAGGTTTCACCTGGGCATGGATTGCTGGTTCGCTTAGGTGAAACCTTATTTTTTTTCTGGCTTCACTCATGTAACTATATATATATATATATATATATATGTATGTATTTGAAAAATGTATGTATTTGTATGTATGTGTGTATGTTTAGTTTGAAAAGTCAAAATAGCATATATATATATATATATATATATATATATATATATATATATATATATATATATATATATATATATATATATTCACATTTTTTAGGTTCACAAAGGTTGCTAACGACTTATAGCCAAGTTTACTACTTCCCTTCTGAATTGCCTATTAAACATCAAAAATCCTTTGATCTCAAAAGACACACTTTTCTCTCACTGTAACATTTGTCGTGTTTAGGTTCTTTTTTTCTTTCTTTTTTCTTTTTTTTACTTACACCCTTTTTCTCCACCCTGAACTCACATACCATCTTTCATCACCCAGTTTCCTTTCTTGGCATTATTTCTCCTTAACTGCTTAATAACATTGTTGATTTCTTTTTTTCATTCAAACCATTGATATATATATATATATATATATATATATATATATATATATATCCTGTTCGACAAATCTTTACGAGCAAACAATTCCATTACTAAATTTCAAACGCAGACAACTATTTATATCAACATGTAAGTATAGGAAAGTAATAATCTCTTATACTAGAACATTACCTATTCTATTGTAATTGACTCTCCCACACATAATAAGTAGTAGTAGTAATAACGGTCGCCAGTTGGGCTCAGTGGTGTTGATTGAGTCAGTTGATGTCGGGCATTGAAGTATCAACCATCACAAATAGATTGCTGCGTCATTAACTCTTATTTCAAGTTTCTAACCTTTTGTAAGTTGGACCCTTTTAGGACCGACTTAGCGAAATGCAAACCTCCACTATGAAAACAACTTTACAACATAATCTACGTTCGAATATTATCAAAAGGTTTACGGAGATTTCTTTTTTTTAATAAATGCAGATAATTTTATTTTAATTTTTAATTTTTTTTTTTACCTTTTACTGTCAAAATACATCTCTGCTAATGTTTTCTAATGTACTTTTCGATTTTGATCTTTTGTTCCCAGTTTGAAGGTTCAATATATTTCTATACAGTCACTACAAATCTGGGTCAGCGTGGACCTGTGAACAACAGCGACTAAGAGGCAGTTCCATATTCCTCAAAACGTCCCTTGCTGCCGGTTGTAGTTTATCGTTATAACCAGGTCGAGAGAGAGACAGGGAGAGGAGGACAATGAGGAGGACAAGGAAAAATAATTCCTCTCTAACTATCCAAAATTTGTCTCCTCCAAAACTAACCAAAATGCAAAATATCAGATATTAACGATGTCATAGGGGAATTTCTACGGATATTTTATTGTATATTTTCGCCAAAACTTATTCAATCATTAACTGAAGAATTTTAAAATTCATTAGAAAATTCAAATAGAAAATAGTTTTGAAAATATCACGGGTCTTTCTAGTTTTGTTAAGTTTGTTAAGGATCAAATATTTAACGATGCGATGGGGAATTTCTACGGATATTTTATAGTCGTAGAACTGTTTTGGAGCTTATTCAATTATTAACTGAAGAATTAAGATTCATGAGAAAATTCAAATAGGAAAACCGTGAAATTATCACTGGGCTTTTCTAATCAGTATAAATTATAATCATCTCGCTGTCACTTTTCCGATGTCTAGTTTTAGTTTCCGCTATTTTAATAGATTTTCAAAATTTCGTATTATTCAAACAGGTGACATTATCTTGTGAACTTTATAATAACTGCGTGCTCAAATTTTACCAAAACAAATATACAGAACATTAAACTGAATAAGTGTCATCTGAATAACGACACATTTGTAAAGACCATATTAAAAAGAAATGTATGCTCCCTGTTATTGCTTAAGTATTTATTCAATATTTTATTATTATTATTTTCATAATCATTTCTATATATTCAGTACAACTGTAACTTAATTTTAGGGTATTTTTATTAAAAGATTTGCTAAGCTTGTCCAACATTCATTGACTAGATGAGAACTGATATTACGTAACGGTTCAGTATATGTTTTATTTGTTTATAACGAAATTTTTCTTTGTCTTAATACTTTGCTCAGCTTTTGGGAAGCGTCTTTCGTTATTCTAAAACACCTTCGGATTTTAATGTCACCGTTTCTATCTCTCTCGAAATGTTCCAAGATATTACAAAGCCGTGTAATTCTTTGATATCGATATATCCGAGGCACATAGAAAAATGGTCTTGAAGATGTAAATGTTGGGCAGTTTTTGTTTTTATTTTGTCTGGAATCTAAAGCCATTATACGACGCTTGGAAAGGCTCATGATAAAACATAATAGACATTCTTTGTTGTTATATTATATTTAATAATAGATATTATATATATATATATATATATATATATATATATATATATATATATATATATACATGATAAAAAAATGTTTCATTAAATAATATTGACAAGTGTCCTTTAATTTATTTTAAGTAAATTCTTTTCATATATATATATAATAAACTTAATAACATTATCGTTAAACGAAAAAGAAAATCAAATTTTGATACATATTTTTTTAATTCTATCTATTTTTTTTTACATACCCCATTAGGTTAAAGATGACAACATTTACATTAAAATATATTAAGCAATACACGGACAAAAAGTGATGATAGTCTGTTTCTGTTTACATGGAAGATTTCTTCAACGATAAACTCTTGCATACTGAATAAGAAGAAGCGAGGTCAGGTGTGATGTCAAGAATTTGCAGTGCGATTTTCGCTTCCAACGTCATATTGAAACTGGTTTGGATGATGTTAAAAAAAATGCCTAAATAAAACACAAATCATACAGGATACAATATATATATATATATATATATATATATATATATATATATATATATATGAGCCATTAAAAATTTTTTTTTTTATTTTAGAATTATTTAAGTTCTTAACATGTTTTATATTAATATTTGATGACATTAATATATGGATTATTTATGGATTAATATATGGATTTATTTAATCCATTTATTTATTTATTTTTTATATTCATCCTATTACTATTAATTGATTTCTTTGTTTTAAAGATTACCTAGAAGACTAATGCGAAAGAAAAATTGAAAAGAATCAACACAAATTAAACACACAAACACACACACACACACACACACACACACACACACACATTTTATATATATATATATATATATATATATATATATATATATATATATATATATATGTATATATATTTTCACTCAGATCTTTTATGAAAATAAATTTGGTCGGACTTCTTTCTTTTATCCAGTGTTTTAAATTTTTGTTTTTTTTTTTTCTCTGTTCCACCATTCTTGGACTCTTTAATTTAATCAAATCTGGAAGAACCGCCACCCCCCGGGTTTCAAGGACATCGAAGTAGGGTCCTTTAGAAAATCTCAGAGATCAATATCCGTTCAAGTAATCGCCTCCCACTAAACTTAGCCTTCCGAGGATCGATCGCCTTTGATATCTGCCAATTCTTTCAATCTTATTTCCTTGCTATCATTTTTAGTTCGCTTTCTTCCCCAATATCTGAAAATATGATCGCCATGGATCCACAAACAGCAGTCGATGCTTCCCCTATCTTTATCCATTCATATGTATCTATCTTGATGGGCTAGTATCTCTCCCTCTTTCTCTCTCTCTCTCTATATATATATATATATAGCCCTCTTTTCAATATCTATCTCTGAAGATCTATGTCAATTTATTCCTATCTACCTATCTAACTAATTATGCCAGTTTATTTAATCTATCTATCTATCTATCTAAATTATTATCTATTTATTCAATATTTTATCTATCTATCTATCTATGAATCTATCTATCTATCTATCTATCTATCTATCTATGATCATCTGTTTAAAATCATATCTATTGCACAGTTTAATTTTATTTTATATCTATCTATCTATCTATCAAAATTATATCTTATCTATCTATTATATCTATCTAAATATAAGTTTATTCGCTATCACCATTCTATCTATCTAAAACCAGTTTTTTATCTATCTTGAATCACTATCTTTCTATTATCTATCTATCTATCTCATAATTATTATTTAGTTTATTTTTATCTATCTATCTATCTATCTATCTATCTATCTATCTATCTCAAATATTCTTATCTATCTATCTATCTATCATTCTATCTATCTATCTATCTATCTATCTATCTATCTGCTTTTTTTATCTATCTATCTATCTATCTATCTATCTATCTATCTATCTATGTTTATAACTATTTATCTATTTACATCAGTTTATTTTATCTATCTATCTATCTATCTATTCTATTATTTATCTATCTATCTATCTATCTATGAAGTTATTCTTATCTATCTATCTATCTATCTATCTATCTATCTATCTATCATATCTAGAAATCTATCTATCTTTTATCTATATCTATCTATCTATCTATCTATCTATTTAAGGTCAGTTTATTTTATCTATCTATCTATCTCAAATGTTTCTTATCTATCTATCTATCCCATGTTTATTTTTATCTATCTATCTATCTATCTCATCTATCTATTCTTACCTATCTATCTAAATATAGTTATCTATCTATCTATCTATCTATCTATCTATCTATCTATAACTATCTATTTATTGACATCAGTTTATTTTTATCAAATCTATCTATTTTTTATTATATATTTTAGGGACAGTTTATTTTATCTATCTATCTATCTATCTATCTATAATATTTCTTTTATTATATATCTATCTAGATATCAATGAAAATAAATGAAAATATTTATCTCTCTTTTAAAATTTATTTTTTCTATCTATGAAAAAAAAAAAATTTTTGTTATCTATATTTTTATTTAAATCATTCTTTTATATATTTTTCAATATCTGTCTCTGTTAATATTTTCATTTTGAAAAATTAAAAAATAAAAAGATAATATTCTGTTTTATCTCATTTAAATTTCATTTTATTCTTGAACGGAGATCAAACAATCGTCTCTTCTTCATATGTTGGTCAAAGAAAAAAATTTATTTAAAATATCTGTTTGGGATATTAATAAATAAAGCCCTAACGTATTATTGACATGCAAAACAAAAACTTTTAAACGGAATGCCACAAAAAAAAAAAATAATCCTGAAAACGCGATCATTTCTTTACTGGATGGCGCGAAATTTTCTTTCAAGGAATGGATCTATATTCATATAATGGTATGATACTCGATATACCAACGTGGTTTAGCTGCAACGATACGCTCATCAACTTTCTGGTTTGAGTCCAGCGCATGCCAACCACTGGTCAGTAGTTTTGTCGACTTCTGGATTACTGGCTTCAAGGCGCGCATTGATTTTCGAGCCCATTTATCTATGCGTCTCGGATATACCGATATGAAAGAAGAACGCAGATATTTTTTTTTAATATTTAGGAACATTTCAAGAGCGATGGAAACGGTGTTTTAGAATAACGAAAGACGCTTTCCAAAAGTTAAGCAAAGTAAGGAAAAGAAAAAATTTCGTTAGAAACAAATAAAAATTTTACTGAACCGTTACGTAATATCAGTTCTCATATCGTCAGTGAATGTTGGAAATATCTTCTCACAACTGATGATGAGACTTGAGCCAATGTGGTACTACAGAAGCATGCTGAGAATGGAATGGACTATAAAAACAAAGATGGTTTTAAAGAAAATGGGAACAAGAACGATGCTTGGAATCTGTTGTAGAGTAGTTTCATAGTGGAGGCTTGTATTTGTACTAAGTCGATCCTAAAATAGGTTCGACGTACAAAACGTTAGGATCTTCATATAATAGTTATGACGCAGAGAAATCTAGTGGTGGTCACTGATACTTTAGTATCCGACTAACTGTCGTCCGACATCGACTGACTGACCAACTCACTGAACGACTTCGCGACAGACTCGTTACTATTACTACTACTACTTATTATAGGTGGGAGAGTCTATTAACTATAGAATAGGTGTGTTCCACTATAACAGAATAAGTAACGTATATATTAAATTTCTAGCATGCGTATTGAGGAAAGATGGTTTGGAGACTATAACACTCATAGAACAGATTAAATCATACGGTGAGGCAGAAATACCTTTCAAATATACCTCCCAGAAATATTTTCCACGTAACAGCAAGCCATGAGCGGGAATGGTTTCCTAGTTAATGTCTTTAAATTACATAAATAAATGGATTAAATAAATTCATGTCTTAATGACATCAAATATTAATATCAGGCATGTTAAGAATATAAATATTTCCAAAATAAGAATAAATAAACAAAAGAAATGAGAAAGGCTGGATTTTTCCATTCAGCACTAAAAGTAAATCAGTAGTGGTTTATATATATATATATATATATATATATATATATATATATATATATGTGTGTGTGTGTGTGTGTGTGTGTGTGTGTATTACATGAATCATTCATACAAAAAACAGATTAATGAAGTTAATGATACAAATGGCGAGAACACTTCCTCGCAAACAAATTTATTAAAATTACATTAACCCACGAACCTCTAGATGAATGTTATTGTTATGGGATCTTACCCATAATAACATAATGGACTATTCCATACGTAATAAATACTGCGCCTCAAGTGGAAGCAGGGAGTTCAGTCTGAAGTCTGGAGTTCAGTCTGAAATTGAGTGAAGTCCGTCAGGAGTCTGTCTGTCTGTGAGTCAGAGCGAGCGAGTCAGTCAGTCGAGTCAGAGGCAGTCCGAAACAGAGTCGCATTCAGACAATTACTACTAAACCTGATTGTTCGTACTAACACTTTCTACTTCTCTGTATATATTCCTGTTTGTAATATATCTGTGTTATTCCATATCCGTGTTCGAGTTCTTCTTTATTGGTTCTACCTTGGACTATTTTGTGGTACAAGGAACCGGACCATAACGTTATCATCCCTTTTCATACTAAATTCAAATTAACACACTTGTAAAGGTCTTTTTTTCAATTTTTTTCTTTCATCTGTTCATACAGTCATCATTATATTTTGAAATTTGATTTTATTTTTTTAAATTCATCCAGCTAATAACGGGACAAAAAAGATTAAATGATGTGAATCGAAATATGTTTTTTTATAAATATTGTTATTGTATATAATATAGAAAAATATGGATATTTTCGGTCGCATAGGATAATATTAATTTTTGAAAATTTAAAGAGAGTGCGTTTTCAATATTTCATTAATTGTTCGGAGGAGCTATTTGCTATGGATAATTTAATAATTTTTTTTTATTTTAATTACATATAAATGACGTCAAATCATATCATATTTACATTTATTTTAACTAAATTAGCCGTAACAAATTTTGTCTTCTTTTTTCTCGCATCTTCTTGCTTGTGGAATTTTTTAACTCTATTATTCAAGCAAACTTTGATCTGCAAAAATTTAAATAAAATGTCAATTGCTATCTACTGTCCTCCTGATAACTCTTTTCTATTTTTGTTTCTTTAATAATTTTTTTTTCTGTTCCTAATTCCTCCAAAACCTGTAATCCCTTGCGTTCTCGTGGTTGTATTGCCTTGATTAAAAATGAAAGTTAAAAAAAGAAAATGCCTGTAATTTTCAAAATGGAATTCGTACTCGGCATTTTGATTTCTTACTATACATTACACCACAGCGAGCACCCCCATTAAAAATGCGTAAATATGAATAAACTCCCCTCTGATTCCAGTTCGTTAATTATGGATGACTTGTCCAATGCAATGTGTCGCCACTTTAATTGTTTTCCCTTGGCAAATCATTTTCTTGGCACATTTGTCATGTCCAAATTCCATTCCGAAGCCGTCACGAAATTGTTTCACAGTGTGAAAAAAAAAAGCCCCTACAGTTGTTGGTTGTTTAACACAAACAGTTTTAAATCAAGCCTATAAAACAGATGATTGATGGTCCTTTTCATATGCTTTCTATTGATAATTTATTTCTTTTAGACATTTACTCAAGGGAATCAATGCCAAACAGAACAAGAGAAAGGATAATGAGTCCCCTTGGAAGATCCTAAAACTGATACTTCCGGTATTAATGGCTGTAGTGTCTGTATTAAGAATCAATATTGTTTTCCAGACATTTGTAATATATAACTTCTGTATCACTGGCGTAATTTTTAATTTCCCGATATTGGTAAATCCAACGATGTGAAAGGCTATCGATTTTTAAAAAAAAATAGTTCAGTTCCAAAAGCCAAAGAAAATGCTAAGAAATAGGAAAAATTCGCTAGAAACAAAATAAAAAAAAAATCTTAATTTGTTATAAAAATTGCTGGTTATTTAAAGCCAGAAATACTTTTTAGATCGGATGAACTTTTCATGGGTAATAAGCATCTTCAAACCAAATTTTACTATTTGATTGTAGGTATTGGAGATTGTTGGAAAACCATGGGTAATTCTGAATATAATTTAAATTTTTGGAACCTAACTAGAATTGAAACTTAGCTCTCTGATTAAAAACTCTGAGCTATTATCCATTGCGTCACCAGCACATTCAAGCTTACAGCACCTGGCGTTTCTAAGTAGTCACCCATCTAGATACTGACCAGCATCGCTGTTCGTACAAGAACCGGTGCTTCAAGGTGATATGACCGTAATCCCACATTGAAAAGGGAGCTGAGCTGTTATATAATACCAATATTCCTATTGGCGCTACATAATCACAGACAAAGAACTGAAACAAATAACACAAAGCACATTACTTGAGGACTAACCACAGCAGTAACAACTAAAATGAATAGCACATGGAACTCAAAGAGACAATAATGACACAATCCAAATTTTAACATGTCACAAATTTAAAATAAAAAAGGCTACATTTAAAACCCCTATTATTGTAAGTCTTTGATCAAAAAATGTTTTGACAAAATCCAAAAACGGATATTCAATGTGATAGGTGCTGATTTGGCATCTAGATTCCAATATCTTTCTCACAGATTAAATTGGCTTCCTCTGTCTCTTCTAAAGTAACTGTTCCGACGATTGCTTTCTCTAATCCCAGACTGCATGAATTTAAGCCATCTATTTCCCAAACTTTCAAAATAAAAACGGTTAATTAAAGGACCTCCACTTTTTTTCGGCAAAATTTCCGATACCTAACTTTAAAATAAATTTTAAAAATGAAAAAAAAACATGCTTGAAGATTTAATTTTAGCTTTAATTGAAAGTTTAATAATTAAATTTATTATTTCCATTAAGTAAACAATTCTGGTGTATTTCAGATAGAAACTATATACATTGGAATGTCAAATTTAATTTTGGAATTTTAAATTTTTCGTAATTCCGGCCATTTTCTTAATTTTAAGAAATTTGTTAAAAACAAACACAAATTTATCGATTTTAAAAATATTTTAAAAAAGTTTATAAACGTTATTTTAGTAAAATTAGAAAATTTAATGTTAAATTAATCTGATTTAAAAGAAATATTACTTACTTATAGCATAAAAAAGTAATATACAACCAATTATTAACGATTGGTAGTGTTATTTTTTATCCAATACTTGATCTATTTGTTGATTGACGAGTGATGACAGCTACTACGGATGAAATAAATGAAAATTATTAGAAATCTGAGTAAAATTTTTTCAAAATTTTAACAATTAATGAAAGAAAAAACAAAACTCTTTTTATAATAATAAATTAAAAGTCTACTGTACATGAAAATACTTTACGTATTAAAAAAAAAAATAAACAAAAAAAATTATATGAAAAAAAATTAGCAGAACTAAGTTTATTAAAAATTTTGCAATTTTGAACTCGTAAA